CGGGAGAATACGTAAGACTAAAAACCATAGTTGAGGTTTAAATTTAAATTTGATAGCTTTTGTAGTTTGGCGGCAAACCATAATTTAGTCGTCAAATCTTACTGCCGTAACTTTTTTCCGCATCCAATATAACCTATCAAATTGGTCTAATCAGTAGGTATTCTCACTGACCATTGGCTAGTAGTCACTGATAATACCTATTTGACAGGAAATAAATGTAATTTTTAAATACTTTTATTTACTATAAAATTTGCTTGTTTGATTGTCTAGGGTGCTCAGTGTAAAAACAATTTCTGCATTAATACGCTTTGAATTCATTTTACCCGATCCAGAATATTTATAAATAATTAAGTCAATAATAAAATATTGTCAATAATTGAACCTTTCTCTTACAAGTACATACATTCTTTGGAAGTTAAGCCTGGATTTTTCACAAAACTTAGTTTAATGTCTTTATAAATTTAAGTAATTATAAAAAATTTTGGCAAATGTACTAAAATATTAAATTTTTAACATTAGTGTGGCCCAGAATGGCACAATGAGAATCGTTGTGTGATATGTATAATTAATAATATAATTAAAATGAGCATTGTTTTCGCATAGATTTCAATAAAAAAGAAATACTCCGAACATTCTCAGAAGCCCAACACTTATCTAATATTAGCCACAACTATGTGGTTAAGTATTACAATTCATGGCGATACAAAACGGACATATACATTCAGATGGAATTGTGTGCCTATAATTTTCAAAAGCTGCTAAAACTTAAACCAAAAGTATTTGGTCGACAACCAGGAGATCCCATGGATTGTGTCGAGTATTTCATATCATGCGAAATATTCAAAGAAATTTTAGAATGCGTTCAGTATTTGCATGAATCGAAACCACAGATCATTCACAGAGACCTCAAACCCGAAAACATATTGATTGTAAAGAATGTAAGGAACGGCAGATTTTTGAAGTTATGTGACTTCGGTTTAGCTACAGTTCACGACAAACGCATTCACGACAGAACTTCACAAAAACATACCCCAGATATTGGAGACTACAGATATGTAGCCCTGGAAATTGTAATTGGTAAAAAATACGACCATAAATCTGATATTTATAGTTTGGCAAGAATTGGAGGTGAAATATTTGACGTGGATGAATTACGTATTGAACCAAATAGGTTGTTATAGTCATATTATAAATATAAATTAACAAATAATTTATTAATATTCAGCTCGCCATCATACACGGGAACAAATGAAATTCTAAACTCACCAGTGTCAGAATTATACAAACTATTGTCTTCAATGATTTTATTGAATTGGACTAAAAGGCCGGAATGTAGTCAAGTGTTGGGTAAATATGAAGAGTGGGCTATCAATAAGAATATTCTTACAAATGATACAGAGTTTGATTCAAAAATGAACCTCCTTCGCGAAAATATTAATCCTTTTTTCTATGAGTTCTTATCATTAAAATTGCAATAATAAAATAATAATTATTGTAAAATATTATATACAGATAATAACTTAATTACGATTAAAGAACTTAAATAATAAAAACGGTGTATCGATACGAATATATAATATTTAGCTAAGATACGGAAGATTAGTTAATTTGATATATTGTGATACATTTATAATTTTTAATGATTTTATTTTGATGCCGATTTTGGAAATTGAATTAATTAAAAATATTTATTTTTAAATGTTAATATTATATTAAAAATAATTCAGCCTTCCGAGTGCAATGCCTGCCAATAGATGACATGTTAGTAGTACTGTATATCTAAGAGGAGAGAGAGAGAGAGAGAGATCAGTGACTGTAAAAAGATTTGTGATAATTATATTGAATATATGATTATAACTTGTGTTGAGTCCGTACAACAAAAAATCATTTATAAAATAGAAATTATTGTCGTTTAACACAAACGACAGGATGTCTGACACACACATACACTGGCACTGGAGGACAGGGAGTAAGTGCCCGACCAAACTCACTGATCAATAGTTACAGTCCCTCTCAAAACATACACACATTTACCACCAGTCAGTCCATTGTTAACATATTTTTAGGTCTCTCTCTCTCTCTCTCTCTCTCTCTCTCATTCACTCACTATTATATAAAACTTTATTTTTCACATTTGAATATTCAATTCATGCTCACATTGATCGACACAATTACATAATACTACACTAGGAATAAATGAGATACCATTCCCTTTCTATGGGTAGCTGTCCATCAAAATTACATATAATGAGGGAATGGGATGTGAAGTGAAATCAAAACACTTATGCCGTGTATTTCTCGTGTGATATAAAAAGGGATTAAGAGTTAGGCATATTAACAAGGTTACATGTGGAAAGGGTATTAACGTTGCATGCAGTTATAAGTTAAACAATTTATCAAGCTTACCATTTTTAATTTGTTCTAATTATCTAGATAATTTTTTCTAAACCAAGCAATTTTGGACAAGTATTTGACATTTGCTATGAATAATGTTTTGTGTATTTTTGCTTTTTAATGAGCATTAATAATAATTGAGGGCTTATTCTAGTATATGTTATCTATACACCCCATTCCCCACTTAGTCATACCATACCCCTGGCTATCAGTTATGTTTCAATTTATTATAATTTCCTTTTCTTTCTTATTATATCACAAATACTCAATATATCTAATGATATATTTTTTAGTCATTTTCTCCATTCATTCGTTGAATTGAATGATAGAAATCAGTGTTTATTATGTATATTATGTATGATATGTAAAATACACCAGAAATATATATAATATTATGTATGCATTTGGTGTCAAATTAGATTTTGCATTAATTGGTTATTTATGAGCACCGGGAGGGTAATAATATTCTGGCAAAAAAGCTAAATGATAAGCGATTTATTATTATACCCTTAAAATATACTAAATATAGCAAGGCATTTTTGTATAAAGTGTAGAAATTAAAATATCGGTATACAATGTGGTAAAAAATTAATGCCTAAATTGTGATTGATTAGAAAATAATTTGATATGAAAATCTTCAAAATAATATTGAAATATCTTAATGTATTAATTAATTGCGTGCATTAAACCTTTTTCAAATATTTTTTGTATAATCCTATTATATCAAAAATAATACGTAAATAACAAAATCATTAATAAATGCCTTTTACAGTGAAGTGAGTATTCATTATAACAATTACACTGTATATGAAGCGATACTTAAAATACGTTTTTTCAAAACATTTGTCTCATAGAAAATAAAAGCACTTTTTCTCTGCAGACAAACGTTTGCTAAGCCTTCAGAGCACATCATAATTGCCTATAATTTTC